CAGCCTCTTCAACAGCTGGTGTTGGCAAAACTGGACAGGTACATGTAAGAGAATGAAACTGGATTATTGTCTAACCTCATACACAAAAGTAAACTCAAAATGGATCAAAGACATGAATGTAAGTCATGAAACCATAAAGCTCTTAGAAAAACAAAAAACATAGGCAAAAATCTCTTGGACATAAACATGAGCAACCTCTTCATGAACATATCTCCTGATGCAAGGGAAACAAAAGCAAAAATGAACAAGTGGGACTAAATCAAACAAAAAAGCTTCTGTACAGGAAAGGACACCATCAGTAGAACAAAAAGGCATCCTACATATGGGAGAATATTTTCATAAGTGACATATCTGATAAGGGTTTGACATTCAAAACATATAAAGAGCTCACAAACCTTAACAAACAAAAAGCAAATAATCCAATTAAAAAATGGGCAGAGGATCTCAACAACCACTTCTCCAAAGGAGAAATTCAGATGGTCAACAGGCACATGAAAAGATGCTCCACATTGCTAATCATCAGGGAAATGCAAATTAAAACCGCAATGAGATATCACCTTACACGAGTTAAGATGGCCAAAATCCAAAAGACAAACAACAAATGTTGATGAGGATGTGGAGAAAGGGGTACCCTCCTACGCTGCTGGTGGGAATATAAATTAGTGCAACCATTGTGGAAAGCAGTATGGAGGTTCCTCAAAATGCTCAAAATAGAAATACCATTTGACCCAGGAATTCCACTCATACGAATTTACCCTAAGAATGCAGCAGCCCTGTTTGAAAAAGGCATATGCACCCCTATGTTTATTGCGGCACTATTCACAATAGCCAAGAAATGGAAGCAACCTAATTGTCCATCAGTAGATGAATGGATAAAGAAGATGTGATACATATACATAAGGAATATTATTCAGCCATAAGAAGAAAACAAATCCTACCATTTGCAACAATATGGATGGAGCTAGAGGGTATTATGCTCACTGAAATAAACTAGGCAGAGAAATACAAGAATCAAATGATTTCACTCATCTGTGGAGTACAAGAACAAAGAAAAAACTCAAGGAGCAAAACAGCAGCACACTCACAGAACCCAAGAATAGACTAACAGTTACCAAAGGGAAAGGGACTGGGGAGGATGGGTGGGAAGGGTGGGATAAGGAGGAAAAAGGGGCATTACAATTAGCACACATTATGCAGGTGCGGGGGCACCGGCAAGGTAGTATAACAGAGAGAAGACAAGTAGTGATTCTATAGCATCTTACTATGCTGATGGACAGTGACTGTAATAGGGTATGTGGTGGGACTTGATAATGGGGTGAGTCTAGTAACCATAATGCTGCTCATGTAATTGTACATCAGTGATACCAAAGTAAGAAAAATAAAAAATAAAAAAACAAAAAAAATACCATTAACAAGCTTTCTCTTTTAAGTGAATCTCTGTTAGCCTTGACTTTATTGCTAGGTTTTTAACCAGTATGCTTAAGATACTGTCCTTATCTCTGAACCCAAGCATAAAAGTTTCTGTTTGAACAATGGTGCCTGTGTATTATTAACTTATGTAGAATACTGAAAATGATGAAAATTGTTACAGAAATATTAGATTTATTTGCAGTACCTTTGAATGTGACAATCACTACCAAACTTGAGATTTCATTCTCACTCTAACAGCATATAAAATATCTGTATATTCTTAGTTGTAAAAGTTTTTAATAGCAAGCACTTAGACAAATCTTTATACTTACACCTAGCATAGTGCCTTAAACAGAGAAAATACTTAAATATTTGTGAAAATAAATGAATTCTGGGTATTTTAAATGAGTTTAGTTGATGTTTTATTTCTTGTTGGGCAATGACTCTCTTTAGAAATTATAATTTAACCAATTCTTTCATTCCATAAATATTAAAGACATATAATGTTTTCTATGCTAAGTGCTGACAATACAACATAGAACAAGATACACATGGTCTCTGTTTTTACGGAGCTAATCGCCCATATGGAGGAAGGCTTTAGAGAGAGAATGATTATACAATTCTTTGACTGCAGTTTTTGATAGATTTTACCAAGGAAATCACAGAATGTTTTGAAAGTGTATAATGAAAAGAAGTAACTAAATTCCAGGATAGGCTTCTTTGAGAAAGTGATATTTATACCAAGACATAAAGATAAGCAGGAATTTGTTGGGGATAGGCAAAGTGAGGGTGGGGGGTGTGCGTGGAGATATGGAAGTATTGCAGGTAGGGAGACAGGATGTGGGAGGGCCCTTAGTCAGCCCCTCCGGGGAACTGAAATTAATGCAAGGTGGTTGGGGCCTAATAGGTTAGATGGGAGGCTAGAGATGAGGCTGGGCAGCCAGAGGAGACCAGACAGAGCAAACCAAGTTAGAAGTTGTACATCTTGTCCTAAAGCAATGAGAAAACATGAAAGGAAGGATTTCAAGTAGTGGTATACAACCTCATCAGATTTTCTTTAAACAAATCACTCTTCCTGCTCTGCTCTGGACTCGGACAAGAAAACAACTAAATAATGTACACAGACCAGGTAAGAAGTAACTACTATAACCCCGTGGAATATAAGTATGGCTTAGAATAGAATGTTAGCAAGGAAGATGGAGAGAAATGTCAGATGATTCTTACATTTCCAGTATGAACAATAACCTTCACTGACAGAAACTTTTTGAGGTTGAACTTATTATAAGTCTACCTGTATCAAATATGAAATATAACCTTAATTGGAATATAGAGACTTCAGATTGACATACACTGCAGATGACCTAAAACACCTAAACCCAGGGGTGTACGATGGATGTCTTAAGGAAAATTCTAAGTAAAATGTCCTGCTATGAAGCTGAAGAGCTTCCAACACTCAATATACAGTGAACATACATAGTTTTTTCCTTTTGAGGGATCCAAATGAGATTAAAAACTATTAAATAAGTAACACTAAGACCTGGATGCCTTTAGCAAAAGATAAATTCCATATTTTCAAAAAGAAAGAGAACATACAATATTTGCAAAACTCCTGTAGCAAGTCTGTCTAGAAATTATGCTTACTTGCCATTTAACACTTTTTATACACTCAACAAATATTTATAAATCATCTACTATGTGCCAGATACTATTGCAGGCATTGGAGATACAACAGTAAAAAAGAGGTACTTAGGTTACATTCTAGTAGAAACTATTTTAGAACAGTGATTATGAAACTTTTTTTACAATCCAGTGATATATATGCACTATATACACAATAATATTCATAATATACTATAATATAACTGCTGCATTTAAAAACATTGGTTATGACACAAGATTGATTTTATAACTCACTAATGAGTTATAACCTAGAGTTTGAAAAACATAGTTCTGTGTTCAATAATAGAGAGCCTATATCTCAGAGTCCTATGTTAGGAGTGCCAGATTAAAGAGAAACTATTTTTAGGTAAAATTTGAAAATTGAAGTCAGAATGTTAAATAAATTCTGGTATCTGAACCATAAACACAGTAAAACAAACAAACCTCCATGCTCCCTTTCCCCAAATAACTAAAAAAAAGATTATTAGTTTTTAAACATAAGAATAATTCCACAATAAGTAGACTATCCTCAAAAATAGTCTAAGTGAAGCCACTGGGATAATAGGAACATGGAAGATGACTGCCTGGATTAAGAATGAATAAGCTATTCTTACTTCACTTCTTCCCTCTAAATTTAGGTCCAGTATAGAGATGGTTCAAAATTTGCAGCTTGAGATCTTAGTGAATTTAAAATCTGTATGGGCAAATAGGCACAGGATGGGGAAGGAGGCTACTCTCCTGTCCACAAATGCACTTATTTCCCACAATGAGCTCTATACTTCACAAGAATCAACTATGTTAGTTTTCAAACCTCTTCATGGCATTTATACTTATTATGGCAATTGTACAATTTAATTTCATATTACTTAGATTATGCAATGATGGTAAGAATACTTCTAGACAAGTTGAGAGCTTTCGAAAGATTCAAAGGCAAGTTGCTTAAAAAAAAAAAAAAGAGGCTATGAAATTATGTAAGGCAGCCACTGCATAAAATTTTTAAAGTTTCCAAAATCTAGATTCTATCCTCAAAATAGCTTTACAAGAGTAAATCTGCTCAACTTTGGAGAAATCAAAATTATAAAGGAAGCAGCCTGCCATTAGAAAAGAATCAACCATACAGAAGTCCATCTCAAAGAAAATCTTGGTCAATGTCAAATGATCAGAGTAAGAGTGTCTGGATGATTTAAGTTAAATTAAAATGCCCAAGATGTGTACCTGTTATTTTTAAGAGTCCCCACCTGGACAGTCTTTTGACTGACTTGTCCAGTCATATCAGATAAGAGGAGGCAGAAAAGCACAGGCAACTCATGTGTTATTTTTACCAGAAATAAAGAGCCTACTGTTTGGCTTCACACTATTTTCGGGTGGCAATTTGCAAAGGGCAAGTCTGTGAAAGTCATATACTCTTTGAAATACAACATAATATTCAGTTACTAGATGAATAATTTAAAGTTAATCACAACTACCAATAAATACTCATGGTGTATCCAATGCTGCTGCTGCTTTTTTAAATAAAAACTACTTCATTGAGGATTGACATATAAAAAGCTATATACATTTAATGTGTACAACTCAATGAGTCTGGGAATAAGTATAAAACCATGAAAATACTGTCACCATCAAGGCCATACTCATAATGCTTCTGATCTTCATGGCCCTACTTGTGTCTTGTTTGGTCATTTATATAGACGTCTATCTTTGCTATTATTACCCTCTCATGGATTTGAAAGGAATACTGAAAGTATAGAACTCCAGGATTAGCAAGTTTCATAACTCCATGAATGCCTCTGGGAACAAGAAGTATCTCAAGGGTACTGAACCCCTCTCAAATGAAGACTGCAGATCTTGGATAGGCTCTGCTAACAGACTTATTAGAGTACTACTCTAAATAAATGTCTGATGCATAGTAGGTACTCAGTACTTTTTATTACCTTTTTCTTCTTATCTTTAAATTGCTTGATCAATATGAGTACATGTTCAACAAGAAACATGAAATATAAGCCACCCAGAGCTGTCAGACCCTTCCATGTGGAATCAAAATAGGTACTTTCTTCTATGTTTTGAGACGACAGATGACTGAAAAGTGGCCCTCTCTTTATTTCCATTGCTGATTCTTCATGGCTGTGACTATGGTGGTGACTTGCATGAGACTAAAGGAAAAACAATATATATTTTATAAATTCATTAGTTTCACACGTTAAAAAATTTGGCTAAGATAATATCAAATTTGAAACCATTCAAAATTAGGCAATTAATGGGATTCTTCAGATCTGAAAGGAAATGTGGGACATTAAAAATAAAATGATCCATAGGCAGCTAGCTATCTTGAACTTAATGTACATAATGTACTAAGGCACTTTAATAGAGTGGATACATTTAGTGTAAAGACAGATACATTCCGCAGTGACTCCCATAATATATAAGTAATGGGTATTTTCAATGTTTGACAAATTATCATAGCCACAAGTAATAGGGAACTGCCAGATTTAACAGGCATATAGTCTACTGCTTATACTCCTGACTGAAAAGCCCATACCAGCATTAGTGTATGAAGTATATAAAGAAAACCAAGAAGCCCAGTCTTTATAATGGGCCCTGGCAGGTACCTGAGATCCATATGCACTGCCCCAGCAGTCTGTAGCTAAGTGTAGTAGGAGCTACTGCTACTGCATGTTAGGGAATCAAGTGTGGAGAACACCAACAGACATGAGATATGGGCGGGGTGGGGTGGGGAAGAGGCGGGGGCAGGCAGATCAAGTCACAGGGTCCACTCCATACCAACAAGGCTCTTAGTATAACAGGTATTCCTGAATATCTGCTATCTGGTGGTCAGGGAGCTTAATAGCTTTTCACCACAAAATATTTCAGCACAATACCTTTTTACCACAGAATGGAACATTCTGTGATGAGATATGCAGTATTCTAGGAAAGCAGTTTCTTTTTCCCACTTACCTGAAAACCACTAAGGAAAACAACAAAAAAGAGAGACTCAAATATTTTCTGCCTGAGTACCCATTCCAAATATGTAAATTTTTCCAAGACTGTTTAAAAATTTAGTCATGTCACCAGGGTAATTTTTAAATACACATATAAATTCAACTCTGAAGAAACTTAAGTTTCTTGGGCACCTAATGAGTCACATATTTTACTTCAGTAGCAACAGTAACATGTAAACAGATAATTCACATTGCTGCAGTTTGTCAAAGCAATAATATCTAAGCCGAATTCCTCTCCTTTTATTAACTGGATTCCAAATTTTTAAAATTAGTCTATATTTAGTAAATCCCCTTAAAGAGAAAAACAAAAAAATGAGCAAGTATTAAGAAGTAGCACAAAAATGCAACTTTGTTATCAAATATACTTTTAAATCAACTACTCTAAACCAAATTTATAACCTTTTATACAGATCAATACAAAGAATTAATATATATATATAACACTATATTGAATAATAAAACATACTAATAGGACAAATTACCATACTTACATGTGGAAGTAGGTGTAAAAAAGCATCACCACTCAATGTCCCAACAGCCAATGCCACAAGGAAACTTAGAAGAAATTTGAAAAACACCCGATTCATGAGAGGCACTAAGATAACACCCAGCAAAGACAGGAAACTGATGATGGAAATGGCTATAAAGCCACCAACCCACGCTGTCAAACAAAAACACAGCAATTGATAAACCTTAAAAGAGAGACTCTGGAGTAGTATGAAGCAATTTGTAAAAGTGAGTTGTATTCTTAAGCTACAGACATACAAAATCAGAGGATTAAAACTATAGTAATTAAACAATAACCAAGAAACCTGCTGTTGGCTCAAATGAATAACCTGACTGAACTCTCCAGGTAAAGAGCATAAGCCTAGTGGAAAATTCTTAAGATGGGGTGAAAGAATTTTCAGATGGGGAAAAGCATGGTTACCACTGATGAACTCTAGTTCACGTAAGAAATGTGGTTTCAGACTCTCATAACAGCTGCATCACAAAAAAAAGAAGAGAGATGAGTTTAAAAACAGAAAGGAAAGAAGGAGAAAGAGAAGGAAACTGGGAATTCAATCAATTTCCTCAGTGATTAATCAATCAATAAATCAATAATCAGTAAAGTGATTATTTCTTTACTATGGTTTTTGAGCAACATAGATATAGCAGAGGTTATCCTAGTTTCACTTATTAACACTAACATACCAGAATTAGGCTCCTGAAGAGCAGAAATTAACTCTGACCTTCCTCACAGTGTGACAATATATAAAAAGTCCAAATTTCAGATGACTCTGACACCTTCTACAAGTGGAATGACCTCAGATAAGTTACAATCTAAATTTTATCTGTGGTTTTTTTTTTTTAAGGTAAAGGCTAACCAGCCTGTTTTTTTTACATTCAAAGCAGAGAACAATTAAGAAGATATATCTGGAATTTTGCTGAAAAATGAGTAGGTTAATGAAAATATAAGGAAAAGTACAGCAAAATGTATGTGTTGGAAATTTTTACATAAAAAAGGCAATTCTACCTATTTGTAAGGAATAGGTCTTTGGAGGGATCTCAGCTTTCTTTTCACTTGTTGTATGAATCAGACATGATCTAGCATCAATTTGACTTATTATGGCTGGGCAGAGGTAGTTGAACTCTGTTCCATTCAGCGGAATCTGGATGCCCATGCCGTGAGATGTAAGCAGCTTTGATGCATTGAAACACTGAAGGAAACAAAGCAGTGAAAATCATCAAAAGGCATTCCCATTAGACAATTCAAGAAAGTTATTTGATGATACAACAATCTTTCCATACTGAAGCTACTTATTTTTTTAAGTTAATGCAAATCAACTTCTGTGTTGAGTACTGTGGAACTTGCCTCAAGCTACCTGGAGCTACTGTGTCACATGGTAGTATCCCACCTCTTCTGCCTAAGTGTTCTTGGGAGTACTTATAACACTAGCCACCTAGGGAGAAAGCTGAAATGGAATAAGCTTGAGGATAAATGGACATTCACAAGCCTCTTAACTCACTGTATGGACCTATAAAGGAAATGAGTCATAATTTTGAGATGAGATTCAACAGAGAATGGGAAATATGTTGTTTTAGTGCTAACGCTACCCTGCCTGGCCTAAACAAGCCCAAGACACGTCACTTTACCAGTAATGACTGAAGTTGCAAACCTTAGCTCAGTTCTTTCTATATTCCTGGCAAAATAATGCTCTATAATGAGATAATATTAAATTATGCAGATTACTCCTGTGGTGGGCAATGCTGGTTAATAAAACATACCTGTACTGGCAGACAATTGTTTCAACAATTTAATTAGATGACAAGCTTAGTTTGAGGAGAATCTCCTCTGGGTAAACTAAGCTCCTCTTCTCTCCATAAAAAATTGGCAAAACATGTTTTTCATTTTCTGTAAGTTATTTTAAACTCCCACAATTCTTGGCCAATATTACTCATGACAAACTTTATCACCAATGTCTCTAGGGAGATGACCATTAGCAGGATTATTAGATAGTACGTCATAAAATGGTTTGAATGAAGTACTTTAGACCCAACTAATTCCTTACTTATTCTTGCTATCTCTTAGCCAAAGCAAATTGTAGAAGTCTCTTGTAGAAAACACACATGAACTCAGAACCTCAGTGCCCAGACTTTTCACTTGTCTAGCACATTGTTCTTAGTAACTTCTAATTTCTAGCACTCCAAAAGTCATTGTGATCCCTCTTCCAAGGAGGTAACCCTGTTCTTGTGTTCTTCAGCTTCTTCAACCACACCTTTGGTTTCTAACTTCTGCTTTTTCAACCTCCCATTTTTTATTTTTAATTAATAATACCAACCTCTAAAGACTTTCTCCAAAAATAACCTTGATATCTGGTTTCCATACACATTTTGAATTCTATTTAGAAATTAGTTTTAGCATGCAGCAATATTCTTACCAAAGAAGTATTCCCCAAAATTTGTGTTAGGAGTGTTTACAAAATAGTAGGGACACTATGGGCCAGATGCCTTGATGAGAAAGAAATTCCTTTTTCAATAACTTCACAATTTAAAAAAAATTAAAGTACCAGTGACATATAATTTTATGATGGTTTCAAATACACAACACAGTGGTTCAATATTCACCCATATTATCAAGTCCTCACCCTCTCCAGTGTGTTCTCTGCCCATCAACATGGTAAGATGTTACAGTCATTAACTGTATTCTCTGTGCTATCCTACAGTCCCCTTGACCAACCTATATTGCCTCACCATTTTATTTTTACTTTAAATTCCTACAACTAGAGAGAGAATGGCAATGACAGGCAGGCAGTCAAGCTGATTAAAGTAACAAACAGCACTCATCTCACCTCCTGAGAGTTTTCATTTGTGTTTCTGGAATACATGAAGCCTTTTCTGGGATCACTCACAGATTCATTCATTTTCCTACTAGCCAGCCGATTCTCCTGGCTTTTTTCTGTAATACTGGGTGAAGTGGAACTGCTCACATCCTTGGGGAGAAGTTTTCCAGGTTTTGGAGTTTCTATTGTCTCTAGAAGGTGATTTCCTTCAGAGACAGTGTTGTACACAGTTGAGGTCACTTCACTAGCAGCAACACCATCCTTGATTAAAACATTCCTTCTACCATTGGCATGTTTTGATGGGTGAGATCCTTTTCCCTGGCTGTTTCTGGGATCTTTGCCAGCACTATCAGAGTCATGGTCTGGGCAAAGTGCTTTCCGGTTACTTTTACTGGAAGCAACACGATTACGGTGAGAGTGATGATCATGGTCAGAGTGATGCTCGTGGTCATGGTGCATGTGGATCCTTTTAATCTTATCTATGCCTATATTCTGAAGCAATTTTCTGAACCCTTCAACTGACAAGGAATTATTTTCTCCATAGCGATGGAAAAGCTGCTGTAGATGATGTCGCTGTGTGGTAGCTGCCAAGTCAAAATTAATGCCACGTTCCCAATTTGGAATAATTTTCTCAGTGGTCTGAGGGAAAACAGTTGCTGGTTCTAGTTCGTGAAGAGGATTTGCGACTGACAGGGTGAAGGTCAAGATCAAGATTACAGATAAATTCCTTGCCATTGCAACTTCCTAGAGAAGACAGAAAAAAAATTGTCTTCACTTGTAAAACAACTGAATTAAGATATCTCATGCTGAAAATTGATATCTAATTAAATAATCAAGGTCTACAGAGCATCATTTAGTGTAATCAGTGTAGTTAGGTGCTGTGAAAATACAGAGAACTAGAGTCCTACGCTCTACCCTTACATTGCTAAAACATGGGAAACTGGTGAACAGGTGAGTGCTAAGACTCTATCTAGTTAGCACCGTTAAAGCGATAGTAATTCAGAGAACAGATCAGTGTGGCCACAGCCATACTGGCAGCTTATTATGTAGAAAACAGTAACTCAAAACAAAAACCGTCTACTTCCACCATCATCATCATTTCATAAGATAATATTTTAACATCAAAAACTAGAAATTATCATCTCAGAATAATTCACATTAGAAACTTTTAAAACTATATACTAGTCAATTTACAGCTTCTTTCCCCCATTCTCACTCCTCAAAGGTTTCTGCCAGTTTCTTGTGTATCCCTATCAGGATATTTTCTGTGCATACTTAAGTAGATGTGTACTTTAACCACACAAGTTAACATCTTTCCATGTTGGTACATACAGATCTCATTCTCTTGAATGACTGCACAATCATAATTTATTAAGTAAACTGAACTTCATAAAAAAGTGCATTGTTCTTATGTTGTTATAAAACAGCGAAAATTTTACATAGATTATCACTCATTCGTACAATAGTGTTTGGAACCAAAGGCTGTGCTCCGAGTTAGGAATTGAGTTGAAAAGCAGAATGCAGTTAATCATATGAAGAAGGTACAGTGCAGATAAGCGATAGAATTACATCTCAGGATCCCACAGATGTCCAGCAACAAGGGTGGATGGTGATCCTGACCAAATTCATCTACCTCTACCCAGGGAAAGACGCAGAGGTCGATTCTCCGGCGCGAGCAAGGGCGTGGGGCGACCTAGCTCCATCACTTACAGCTGCTTTTTTCTTGTACAAGGAAAAGCTGATAATACCTATTTCACAGCATAACTGAGGATACCACATGAACGAATATACGTGGTACTCCATAAACTGCCATGTGTTGCTTGCACAGCGGATGCTTATCATACTGGGAACAGTGGAAAATGGAAATTATTACTAGCACAGGGCTAGAGAGCCTCTTGAAAGAATCATCTTCGAGCCTTAAGTTTCAGGAATTCAGTTAATAAGCAAAAGACAACCGTTAAGAAAGCATTCGTAGGAGAGAGGCAAGGAGCCAGGAGGGTGGGGACACTACAAACGGATGGCTCAGGGAGCAGCTCTATGCCTTTCTCCTCCAAAAATGCCTAGGGCGGTCACGGACCCTCCGGCATATCTCCTTCCCTGCCTAGTCGGTGTGTGTTGGGAGGGGAAAAGCCGAAGAATAAGGGCCTGGAGAAAACGGGAAAATGGGCAGAAGCTGCTTCTAAGGAATTTTTAAAACATAACAGTACCTTTTAAGAATATGAGATGAACAGGACGGACAGCTTCCTCAGAAAGTCGTCGGTTGCACTCAGAAGCCCATCTCTGCACCCCAAACTGGGAAGTCCGGCCTCCACAGCCCGCGAACTCCCTCTCCACCTCCCCCTTCCGGACCTCGGGACTCACCTCTCTGCGGCCTCGCTGCCCCGCAGCACGGCGCCGCGTGCAGGTCCCGTTCCCCGGGAGCAGTCCGGAGGGCTCGGAACGGACCCGTGCTTCTCTGAGAAACCTCAGACAAGCCGCAGACTCATCTGCCCGGCCGCCCCTCGGCCCGGGGTACAGCGGTGTAGCCACCGGGAAGCCGCGCCCCCACGGCGCCCTAGCCTCTCGGTAGCCAGAGCACAATTACTAATTACCGCTGCGCGCTGCGCGCCGCCGGGAACCACAGCGTCCGCCGGCCCTGACTGCAGGGCATGCGCAGTGCGGCCCGGAGCCCTGTCCCTGGCAGGCGGATCCTCGTGTCCGCCGGTTCGCCGAGCCCCTAGGAGTCGGAGGGGGCGGAGGTGCGGGCAAATCAGGCTGTGAGCGCCGGGGCCAGTTGGGGCTCCTTTCCTCGAGCCCCTCCGACCTCCGAGCCAGCTCCCTCCGCTGCTGAGAGCCTGGCCGTGGGGGCGGGGGGGGGGGGGGGGGGGCAACGGGACGTTCCTAACACCGCCCCGGCACACGAACTCCGGCTCTTTCTGGACAGTCCCGACGTACTCCGCTCGGGTCTTCTCTCCTGGGACAGAGCCCGTGCTTGTGAGCTGGGCCACGGCCCAGAAGACAAGTGCTGGTAGCGGCGGCCAGGACCTGAGGACCACTAGGTTCAGTGCAAGTGGCGGTACCCGTCCACCCTTCGCCCCGCCCGCGGTCGCCTCTGAATCGCTGAGCGGATAAAGCTGGCGGGAGAGGCAGCCGAGAGAGTAGTTCCGCTCTGAGGGCGGAAGTGAGCGACGAAGTCTCGGCCGCTCGCCAGCCAGCATCATGGTGGCACTCGCGCTGGAGACTTCCCACGTGTTTTGCTGCCCAAACCGGGTACGGGGAACCCTGAGCTGGAACTCCGGGCCTGGAGGACTTCTGGCCTTCGGCACGTCCTGTTCCGTAGTGCTCTATGACCCTCAGGTAAGAGAGTGCGCGCACGTTCGACCCCGTATGCTTCTCGGGCTGAATCTGCAGGGTAAGCTCCGAGCCGAGTGGAGACGTTGCTGCAGAACAAGGAGGCCGGGTCCACTTGGGGCAGGGTGTCTGGATGAGGAGTGTCTCGTGGTCGCGCCGACCTCGCCCCTCGCCGTCTCACGCGCTACGCCAACCAGCTGTCACCATGTCCTGCTTCTGGCCTCTTAACAACACGTAGAAACCCGAATGAAGACTACCTTTTCTGAGGCCTTCCATGGAAACTGTAGTATTTGTTAAAGAATCAGTTTCGGTTTTAAAAGATTTTCAATTTAGGTATGGATTAGGGGCACTATCACACATATGTTACCTCATATTTATATTTCCCACCGTTATTTAATAAACTTTTGTAGTATTTCAAAGAAATACTTGTGTTTTAGCTTTGGAAATGGACATTTTAAAGAAAGTGCCGTTGGGGTAAAGGCCACAAGGGGATGGGGATCCTAAGCATTAGATATAAGGAAAGACTTACATTTCCTGAACTTCACCTAGTCAGTTGATTATTTTCTTGCCCCTTTCCCTACCAAATTTGTGACTAGTGTTTGCATACTTCCCAGAATTCATTATGAGCCCATTCCCACTTGCTACTTTTGGACAGTACAGTTAGTGTTGCTTCTTAAAAGGAGCCTCAGTGTAAAAACTGAAGTACTGGAAATTAAAATGCAGTGCAGGAAATACCTATATGTATTGCTTTTTTTTGTTTTTTGTTTTTTAATTAAGGTTTCATTAGTATAAAATCTTATGAAGGTTTCACATGAGCAACATTGTGGTTTCAACATTCACCCATATTATCAACTCCCCCCACACACCCCATTGCACTCCCTGCCCATCTGAATAGTAAGATGCTATAGAATTATTCTTTGTCTTCTCTGTGCCCTACTGCCTTTCCCTGTGAGCCCCCTACATTACGTGTGCTAATCATAATAGCCCTCAATCCCCTTATCCCTCCCTCCTCACCCATCCCCTTTGGTAACCGCTAGTCCCTTCTTGAAGTTTGTGAGTCGCTGTTGTTTTGAACATTCAGTTTTGCTTTGTTATATTCCACAAATAATTTGTGGGAAATCATTTGCTACTTGTCTTTCCCTGCCTGGCTTATTTCACTGAGCATAATACCCTCCAGCTCCTTCCATGTTGTTGCAAATGGTAGGATTTGTTTCTTTCTTGTGGCTGAATACTAATACATTGTATATATACCACATCATCTTTATCCATTCATCTACTGATGGACACTGAGGTTGCTTTCATATCTTGGCTATTGTAAATAGTGCTGCAATAAACATAGGGGTGCATATGTCTTTTTGAATCTGAGAAGTATTCTTTGGGTAAATTCCTAGGAGTGGAAGTCCCTGGTCAAATGGTATTTCTTTATTTAGTTTTTTGAGGCACCTCCATATTGCTTTCCACAGTGGTTGAACTATAATATACATTCCCAACAGCAGTGTAGGTGGGTTCCCTTTCTCCGCATCTTTGCCAGCATTTGTTGTTCTTACTCTTTTCGATGCTGGCCATCCTTACTGCTGTGAGGTGATATTTCATTGTGGTTTTAATTTGCATTTCCCTGATAATTAGCGATGTGGAGCATCATTTCATGTGCCTGCTGGCCATCTAAATTTCTTCTTTTGAGAATTGTCTGTTCATATCCTCTGCCCATTTTTTAACTTGGTTATTTGCTTTTTGGTTGTTGAGGCGTGTGAGTTCTTTATATATATTTTGAATGTTAACCCCGTGTTGGATATGTTGTTTACAGATATATCCCATACTGTAGGATGCCTTTTTGTTCTGCTGATGGTGTCCTTTGTTGTAGAGAAGCATTTTAGTGTGACGTAGTCCCATTTGTTAATTTTTCCTTGTTGCCCTCGACTAACAGATGCGATCAGGAAAAAGTTGCTCATGTTTATATTCAGGAGATTTTTGCCTATGTTGTCTTCTAAGAGTTTTATGGTTTCATGACTTACATTCAGGTTGCTGGTCCATTTCGAGTTGATTTTTGTGTATGGGGTTAGACAATAATCCAATTTCATTCTCTTACATGTACCTGTCCAGTTTTGCCAACACCAGTTGTTGAAGAGGCTGTTATTTCCCCATTGTATATCCATGGCTCCTTTATCATATATTAATTGACCATATATGCTTGGGTTTATATCTGGGTTTTCTAGTCTGTTCAATTGGTCTGTGGGTCTGTTCTTGTACCAGAACAAATTGTCTTGATTACTGTGGCTTTGTAGTAGAGCTTGAAGTTGGGAGCGTAATCCTCCCAGCTTTGTTCTTCCTTCTCAGGACTGTGGCTATTCGGGGTCTTTTGTGGTTCCATATGAATTTTAGAACTATTTGCTCTAGTTCGTTGAAGAATGCTGTTGGTATTTTGATATGGATGGCATTTAATCTGTAGATTTCTTTAGGCAGGATGGCTCTTTTGACAATATTCTTCCTACCCGTGAACACAGGATGTATTTACATTTACTGGTATCTTCTTTAATTTCTCTCATGATGTCTTGTAGTTTTCAGGATATAGGTCTTCCACCTTCTTGGTAAGGTTTATTCCTAGGTATTTTATTCTTTTTGATGCAATTGTGAATGGAATTATTTTCCTGATTTCTCTTTCTGCTAGTTCATTGTTAGAGTATAGGAATTTAACAGATTTCTGTGTATTAATTTTGCATCCTGCGACTTTGCTGAATTCAAATACTAGATCTAGTAGTTTTGGAGTGGATTCTTTAGGGATTTCTATGTACAATATCATGTCATCTGCAAACAGTGATGGTTTAACATCCTCTTTACCAATCTGAATGCCTTTTATTTCTTTCTGTTGTCTGACTACCATGGCTAGGACCTCCAGAACTATGTTGAATAAATGTGGGGAGAGTGGGCATCCTTGTCTTGTTCCTGATCTTAAAGAAAAAGCTGTCAGCTTCTCACTGTTAAGTATGATGTTGGCTGTGGGTTTGTCATACATGGCCCTTATGTTGAGGTACTTGCCCTCTATACCCATTTTGTTGAGAGTTTTTATCATGAATGGATGTTGAATTTTGTCAAATGCTTTTTCAGCATCTATGGAGGTGATCATATGGTTTTTGTCCTTCTTTTTGTTGATGTGGTGGATGATGTTGATGGATTATCAAATGTTGTACCATCCTTGCATCCCCGGAATAAATCCTACTTGATCATGATGGATGATCTTTTTGATGTATTTTTGAATTCTTTTTGTTAATATTTTGTTAAGTATTTTTGCATCTATGTTCATCAGGGATATTGGTCTGTAATTTTCTTTCTTTGTGGTGTCTTTGCCTGGTTTTGGTATTAGAATGATGCTGGCTTCATAGAATTAGTTTGGAAGTATTCCTCCTCTTCTACTCTTTGGAAAACTTTAAGGAGGATGGGTATTAGGTCTTCTTTAAATGTTTGATAACATGTAGCAGTGAAACCATGTCATCCAGGGATTTTGTTCTTAGGTAGTTTTTTGATTACCAATTCAATTTCGTTGCTGGTGATTGGTCTGTTCAGATTGTCTGTTTTCTTCCTGGGCCAGCCTTGGATGGTTGTATTTTTCTAGAAAGTTGTCCATTTCTTCTAGGTTATCTAGTTTGTTAGCATATAATTTGTCAAAGTATTCTCTCATAATTCTTTGTATTTCTGTATTTCTGATGCTGTTTATGTGTGTAGACTCTTTTCTTGAGAAGTTTGGCTAGGGGTTTATCTATTTTGTTTATTTTCTCAAAGAACCTTCTGCTTTCATTGATTCTTTCTTTGTTTTATTCTTCTCAATTTCATTTATTTCTGCTCTCATCTTTATTATGTACCTCCTTCTACTGACTTTGTGCCTCATTTGCTCTTCTTTTACTAGTTTTGTTAATTGTGAGTTTAGACTGTTCATATGGATCATTCTTCTTTCCCGAGGTAGACCTGTATTGCAATATACTTCCCTCTTAGCATGGCCTTTGCTGTGTCCCACAGGTTTTGCAGTGTTGAATTATAGTTGTCATTTGTCTCCATATATTGCTTGATCTCTGTTTTTATTTGGCCATTGATCAATTAGTTGTTTAGGAGCATGTTGTAAAGCCTCCATGTGTTCATTGGCTTTTTTGTTTTCTTTGTGTAATTTATTTCTAGTTTTGTACCTTTGTGGTCTGAGAAACTGGTTGGTACAATATCAATATTTTTGAATTTACTGTGGCTCTTTTTGTGGCCTAGTATATGATCTATTCTTAAAAATGTTCCATGTGCACTTGAGAAGAATGTGTATCCTGCTGCTCTTTGGTGGAGTGTTTTGTAGATGTCCATTAGCTCCATCTTTTCTAATGTTTGTAGTGCTGTCTCCTTACTTATTTTCTGTCTACCCGATCTATCCTTTGGAGTGAATGGGGTGTTGAAGTCTCCTAAAATGAATGCATTGCATTCTATTTCACCCTTCAGTTCTGTTAGTATTTGTTTCACATATGTAGGTGCTCCTGTGTAGGGTGCATAGATATTTATTATGGTTATATCCTCTTGTTGGTCTGACCACTTTATCATTATGTAATGTCCTTCATTGTCTGTTGTGACTTTCTTTGTTTTGAAGTCTGTTTTGTTTGATACAAGTACTGCACCACCTGCTTT